GAATTTAAAAAAACAAAACAAAACTAGTTTCTCAGATGAGAAACCAGGGCTCAGATGTAAACCAATTCACTTAGAACAGAAAAAAAAGAGTGTTTAGAATCTTTTTCCAGGCTGGGCGGTGCACGCCTTTAATCCCAGCATTCGGGAGGCAGAGACAGGCAGATCTCTGTGAGTTTGAGACCAGCCTGGTCTACAGGAACTAGTTCCAGGACAGGCTCCAAAGCCACAGAGAAACCCTGCCTCGAAAAAACAAAAAAACAAGCAAGCAAACAAACAAAAAAAGAATCCTTTTCCAGCTCAGGTCTTATCCAAGAGCCCCCTAGAAAGCTTAGCCCTTATCCACACCTGCAGGCTTTAATCCCATATTCCCATCATACCCTTGGCCTTCTGAGCCAATCACACTTCCTGTGTGAGCTGCCACTTGGCGAAACTAAATTCTCCATTTGCTCCCTGCTGACATGGTTACAGATGATAGTGCAGTGGTGAAAAAAAAACATTATTTCCGAAAACAAAATTTCAAACTATGGTCAAGCATCTCTGGGTACTGAGAAGGAATGTTCCCTACTTAGTACTGTTCAGGAGCAATCCCCATCCCATCCCTTTATCACTCCATCCTATATTCTCTTAGCTACTCAATTGATGGCGTAAGTGAATCTATCCACAGTGTTACTTCCCCATCAATTTTTCTTACTTTATTAGATCACCCCTTTATTGCTTCCATGTTAAAACAAAACTCAACATTTCACCCTTTCTACTTTTTGGTTTTACAGTAAAGCCTCCAGAGTTGTCTGTTTCATCTTCAGTCTCCCTGTCTTCGGGCATTGCCCTGGCTTTCCTGTGGAGTCTTACTGACTTACAGGTTAGCTCTTAATATTGCTTGTATCAACAATGCTTGATACACACCACTCTCTCCAGAAAGTACTCTACTTGGCTTCCAGTCAACACGCCCAGGGCATCTGACTTTGCCCCTTCTCCAACTTTTCATGTTTCATCTCTATTTGTTTCTTGTGTGTGTGTGTGTGTGTGTGTGTGTGTGTGTGTGTGTGTGTGTGCGCGCGCGCGCGCGCGTGTGTAGACCAGTAGACACTGGGTTTCCTCCTATTCCCTTAGGACAGGCTCTCTCACTGAACCTAGAGTCAAAGCCAACCTCCTACCAGCCTCAAGGGTCCTCCTTTCTTTGTATCCACAGTGCTATGCTCAGATTTTTTTTTAAGTTTTTAAAAAATTTTATTATTGAGCCAGGTGGTGGTAGCGCATGCCTTTAATCCCAGCATTTGAAAGGCAGATGCAGGTGAATCTCTTGAGTTTGAGGCCAGGCTGGTCTATACAGAGTGAGTTCCAGGAGAGCTAAGGCTGCACAGAGAAACCCTGTCTCAAAATAATTATTAGACTGCTTAAGTCACAGCACACAAGTGGTGGTCAGAGGAGTTAGTTCTTTCTTTTCAACTTTTACTTGGGTCTTAAACTCAGATTAACAGGCTTGAGGGACAATCACATTTTACTCACTGAGCCATCCTGCTGGCCCTACACCTGGCATTTCTATATATGGGTGCTAGGGATCCTTGTGCTTGCACTGTCACTGCGAGCCATCTGCCCAATTCATGACGCCTCTTTTCTATGTTCTTACTCCTTTGGTGGCCTTGTTCAGTCTCCATGTTGGCCTCTGGTTCTGATCTCTCTAGCTGCTAATGGGTGTTTAACTGTAAAGTTTTCCATAAGTATCTCACAGTCCTCCCCATTTCAGTCTTCTCAATGGATTAGGCCAACACCTTTACAGTCATCTCCAACTTGCCTTTCTCCCTTATTCATATCCAAATTACTAGTAAATCCTCTCAGGGTGTCCTATCCTATCGGATAATGGAATGCTGTGACATAAATGTTTCAGTGGTTACCCTTGTGAAAACCAAACTCTTTCCTAGAGCCCTTAAAGGCATCAATCACACACCATTGGAAATTTCTGAAACAAACAAAAGAACAAAAGCAAAAACCCTGTGGAGGTTATCAAGAGGCTAAAATATCCTTTTCTGGAGAAAGTCCAATAATGAACACACCGTTCCTTGGTCTAAGCTACCAGGTTTCTGTGGTGGCATCTCCCACTTACCAGACAATGTTCCTCGTTCTTCAGTATCATTGTCACTATCCACGATGTCATTATGCTTTTCGATGTCAGCCAAAGACTGGCCATAATGAGTCAATTCTTCATCTTCATTTAGGTTATAGATATTTTTTTTCTCATGATGTCGCTTGACAAAAACGGGTTAAAATCAGTTACCTAAAATTATTACATTTCTTTCCTAGAAAGTTAGTTATTTTCCTCTTTATGTGAAATATGACAGTACAAATCAGTCTAAAGACTATTCTGGATCATCTGAAAGATGACTGAAATATACACAGAACTAGTAGAGAAAAATTCTTAAATAAGTCACTGAACTAGGCTAAGCTACTGCTAAATTATTCCCATGGGCAATAGTCCTCCACTCACCTGTTCTCCATTCAACAAAGCTGAAGACAGGGCCTTAGCTAACAATTCCAGTAACTGTCACTACTCAACTGTTTGCTCTGGTTAATGTATTTATCTACTCATTAACTAGTATCTCTCGACAAGCCTAAGCTAAGGTCGAGCTTTTAACTAGTAAGAAACCTCCACGTGGTGGCTGACAACAATGCTTGTTACAGAGAAACACCCCTTTCCATGGATTGCCTTATGTAAAATTTATAGCAAAGTCCCCTCCCCCCATTTTTCCCATACCTGTTGCTCCAGAGCAAACCTCTTCATCATCTTTTCTTCTGGACTTATGTTGCTATTATACTCCCCAAAGCGTTTATCTGTAAATACATTGGACTTGTTCCTTTCTTTGTACTCCTTTAGTAAAGTCTGAGTTCGCTGAAAAACAGGTCACACATAAACAATTATTACACAAAGCTGTGATAATATTAACAGAAGAGGCCACCTGAAGGGGCTATGAAGTTGAGAACTGTACAGTATTATATTGAAGTTCTTAACGTGTTTTCATCAATGACAGGCTTTCCCTTGTAGTGAAAGAATTTTAAGAAGAGAAAAATCAACTGACAAGCAAACCAATCTCCTTTTTGCCATCTACTTGTCCATGCTGTAAGTTGTAGATGCTGTGTTACATTTTGGGAATGTTTATTATGGGCACAATTTACTTGGAAACATGTTTAGATCTCTTCCACAGGGAGGAGGAAGTTTACTTCTCATCGAACATATCACAGAGAATGTATGGTTGTGCTTTCATGTCTGAAACTGTATCACAAGTGAGTTTATCAAGTCAGAGCACAGACCACTCTTTACACCTTAAAAATACCATTTTTCTTGATATTCTAAGCACAGAACATAGCAAGTGCCTGTAAATTGGGTATCCTTCTTTTGTGGGTGGGGGTATCCTTCTAATAGCAGCAATAAACACATTCAGTATTATTCAGCTCTAAGGTTGAATACCCTAAGGCAAGGCAAGGCTTAAGGAGCAAGGGATGGCATGGCGTCAAGAGACCTGAGCTGCTATAATATCAACTTTCATTCTTTGCAGAGATTTCTTAAAAATAAATAAATAAAATAAAATAAAATAAAACAGCCTCATAGCCCACGCTGGCCTGTGATTTTCTCTGTGGCCAAGGATGGCCTGAAACTTCTGATTCTCCTGTTCCTTCTCTAGAGTGCTAGGATTTCAGGCATTTGCCACCATGCCAAGTTTTTTGTAAGAATTTTTACATTTTCCAATAGATGTCATTTGAGAGCATTTATATATCAACCAATGACAAAAGTATTAGTGTAGAATCATCAAATAACAACAGGCCATTGTAATGACCCAATTCAGTGGCTTCATACATCCACAACTAATAAGATATCTTGTAGCCATCTGAAACCCATAATCTGACTCTAGATTTGAGTGTCGCTGCATTGTTTTCAGGATTATCTATGTATACTGACCGTGTCACACCAAGACCAGAGGGGCATGGAGAAATTAGGAAGGATAGGGGAGTTGTGTCTCTCATCCAGACACAGTCACTAACTATAGGGGCTGAGTTCCGGTAGGTAAGAGATCCTGGACCTCTGTCGTCTCACAAAGGCCGGGTAGGTTCAAAGTGTGATCACAAAATGCCACCAACTTTGATACTTCCTAGCTAGAACTTGGCAAAGTTCTTAATCTCTCCATCCCCTGTGGCTATATTAGTAAGAGGAAGTAGTCACTTTCTTCATGCAATCTCTAAAAGCGCTTTGAAGTAGCACTTCACTGTAGTACAAGGAGAGTCCCAACACCATCGCTTTCTAGTTGTGGCTCAGTTTCCAAACATAATTAGAAAGTCAAAGCTATGAAGTGTTCCATTATAGCAATAGTTATTAAGGCAGTCTCCAAGAAATTCGCAACTAGCCATTGGGGAAGCCAGATCCTGGCTTACCCTTACCTTTCGGATGGCTCGGGCGCGGGACACACCGGGCAGCCCCACATCGTGGCGCGTCTTCCTGCCGAGGATATGGAACTTCTGCCTGTTGACTTTCACTTCAAACGGGTTTGGGTTAGCCTTTGCCAGGCCTCCGAACGCCCCTGCGGGCGCTTTGTGAACCTGCCTCCGCGCCCCAGCCCGCTTCGCCTTCCCCATGGCATTCACTCTACCACACTTGGTAAGACAGTGTCTACAGACCCTCCAAACAGCCGCCGGTCGCCTCGAGAAACGTGTGCTGAAGCTGAAGAACCACGCCCAGCCTCGTCTCACGATAAATACGTCACGCCCGTACCTCGCGAGAAGTGCTCCAGTCCTGGTAGACACGGAACAGGCTTTTGTTGGGAATAAGACTACAACTCCCAGGAGGCAACACTTCTAGACTTCCTGGCGCTGGGCTTTATGGGATTTGTAGTGTCTCGTGAGCTGCCGCAGTCTCCTCAGGCGCCGCCCCGAGGGGAGCTCTCGGGCTCCCTCTGGAGGAAAGCCGTTAGCC